CAACTCGTTCATTGTACCTAACAATACGAAAAGTGGTCAACTGAAAGAACAAGAAAGAAATTGATCAGTTTCTAAATATTGCTGCTTAGTTAGTAATTCAATAAGATATAGTAAATTCCTACCAAAAGTTATGGCTAAGCACATGATGATAGAACACACAACAAGAAGATGAATACATAAAGTTATGTAACATAACTCCACTTCAAAATAAAATTTAATATAACTTCACATTCTTATGCCAAATTTACTTTTTAAAATCCATATGGATTAATAATTAGGACCAAAAAGAAACCATATTATATTGGCGCGCGTGAATTAATCTGATCCTTAATTTTGCTCAAAAGCATTCTCACTCTCCCAAAAAAAAACTACTCAATGCTATCGATTCTTAAACAAATACAACTTAACATGCAAAGTATTTTTAAATTGTGTTTACTCACTCCACATGATATCGATTCTGAAATATTCACATGCGAGGATTTTGGTTAAATTTTATCTTTTAAATCAGCTCATCAAATTACACTAGTGGCTTGTCAAGTCTTAACTAATAACTAGGTCTTAACGCATTTGAATAATTGTATGTTTGGATCTAAGCATTTTGACTATTCAACTAGATGGGTGCATTTTTCACCAAAAACTCCAACAAGATTTTGCGAACAAAATAAATAATTGATTTTCGTCGTTTTATATAATTTTTTTTTTTTTATATAAAGCTCTCTATATAGGTGTGCAAATTTAAGCAATTCTTAAAAATTTTTGGTTCTACATAAAAAGCTGAAACATTTGTGTTCTACAAAACCTTTTTTAGTGACATTGACCCTTTAGTTGATATTTGAATTATATATAAATAATATCTATATAACATGTCTGTCTAAGCAACAGTAAAGTTGAAAAAATATACATTAAAAATGCAAAAAGTTCATCGTAAGTGTAAAAACTTTTTACAGAGAATATACGGTTTCAGCGAGTTTCTTTCTTGGGACCTTCTCTATTTTGTAGCTTTTGGCGCAGTTAAAATTTTAGATTCTTTTTTTAATCATATATTCCTCCATTTCAAAATATAAATAATTTAAAAATTTTTATATATTTAAAATATAAATGATAAATACTAGCTATTTTTTAATTTTATTGACTATTGTATGATCAATAATATTTTACAGTCGTTTTTTATTGATTAAATTATTTTTATTATATATATGATAATATTTTTTAGAAAAAAATAGTTTTTTAATATTCATATTTTTAGCAAAAATAATTTACATTTTGAAACAGACGATTGGAAAACATACAAATCTACTAATAAAAAAAATTAAAAAAGCGATTGCGATTTGAAAAAAAGACTAATTTGGTACTAGTCAAGAAAAAAATTTAAACTTAAAAACTAATCAAAATCATCTTATGTGATAAAATTATAGCCATTAGATTAAAAGATTTTGG